AGACAGTCATATTTATTGATAATGGAGTTGACTAAATGGCTATAGCGATTACGACCGTATATGGAGAACAGTAGGAAATAGCGGATGAATTCAACGGGGAAAGCTCTTAAGGATCTCTTTGATTAGACATGAGTTTGCTTGGTTCAAGGATAAGAATCATAACCAATTGCTACGTAGCGGACCTAGAAATTGCACCAACTGTCGCTGGTGCCAAGCATTGATCGGTGGTTCGCATGGCGTCGCGACGTTATCGTGCTCATCTGCGATATTCAGAGCGCAGTGCAGATATATGAAATTTTCGCGATATCTTTAAAAAATTGGGCTTTTAATACTTGAAGCAGATTCTCAGACTCTGAGTTGCATAACATCAATGACAAGCACAATTAACATACACGTTATTTAGCTAATCCTCAAACTGCTCCCTCTATAGCTTAGAATCGATCAATTTTATAAATTTCCTTAAACTGAAAATACTTGTGAAATTTTGTTTTGATGTTGTAATTTAATAAAATAATTCGGTTTTTAATAATATGTTAATTGACTGTGTGATTTATCTGAACTTCTAATTTTTTTCTAAAGATTAAAAAATTGCGTTAATGCTAATGATTCAACGTTGGATAATTTTATATTATACAAGTGAAGATTTTGTCATGATTGAAATTTTGTATCAGATTTATTAGCTTGCATTTCTAGCAATATGAATTGCTAGATTATGTTTTTATTAATATTGATATGATTCTAATATTTATTCTTCTATAATTCAATATTTCTGGATTAATATATTAATTGATTAATGTTGCTGGGAAAATTAATATATGTTAATTAGTTTATTGAACCTATTTCTTGTTGAGATTTAAAACCTTATTGATTAATATTGATAATCATGACTTATTATTAAGTATCGTCATTTTATTTATAGTTATATGAAAATGTATAATTTGAAGGATTTAAATCTGTTCGTATCATTGCAGTTATACAAAACATAAAAAAGATAAATTTTATTTTGATTTTTGATTCATGAAATTTTAATCATTTTTATTTTATAATATTTTTACAGAATAAAAATTTAGTTCAATCGATAACGAGCGCTGTTACATTCCAGTATCGAATATTTCTCACAGTCTATTGCATGTTAACATAAACACGCAATGTCGCCATATCTTTTGATATCTCACTTCCTTCCTCATGCGAAATTAAACTTAGAGGATTGAAAATGATGACATGCAAAGATAAATGTACTTGAAAATAGTAAGATAAGTTATTGTTATAGATACAGTCTAAGAATACGTTATGCTGTTCAGAAAAGTTATCTTTATATAAAGCTTTATATAAAGCTGTATTAATAAAACAAGCGGAGATCAACCAATATTTTATCAATGTAATAAAAAATAAAATGGGAAAAATATCGAAGTAAATATAGATATAGATATTGATGCAATTATATGTTTAAAGCAGAATACTATTCTTAAAATAAGTATAATTTGCTATTAGGACTTATGATTATTCATACTAAATTGAATTATTATAAACGTGTCTAGTATTATTTTCTTTCTTTTCTTAACTTTTCACATATTTTTTAATTTTATCCATTTATTTTAGCATACTATTTCTTCCTCTTTTTATCTATTGGCATTTTTATCTTTACTTATCTTAACTTTCGATAATTTGTAAAATAATCTGTATATTCCTATACGTGTCCTAGAATTTCATTCTCAGCTTGTTCTTATTATTTTAATAATTTATAAACTGTGGATTGAAATTTTATAAATTTGAAGATATACTTTGTCATAAAAATTAGAGATATAATTTTTTAACTAATTAATCACAATCGTTACAAGTTAAAAATAATCGTTTGAAATTTATCCATGTATATTTTTTTCATGGTTATAAAGTAGTGCTGAAATATAAATGGTAAGAGTAACAGAAAGTAATTCAGAATAAATAGCAATCATAAAGAAAACATACGCAAATAATTTTACTCGTTCTTCGTGGCTTTTCTTCTCCATCATCCTACTTTGCAAAATTTATCGTAGAATATTTTTCAAGATCGTTCTATGGCTTCAAATCACAATTGTTAACATTTTCATATATATATATATATATATATTATTTTTTTTAATTTAATAATAATTTACGATAATTTAATAATGATTTGTGTATCAGCTGGTCTATTAATCTAAAGATATAAATCCAAGGTGGATCTCTCAAGTTGGCTTCTGCTTTTTATTATCGCTACTTTGAAAGATTAAGGTCGTCATTGGTTGAAACAAGTTTATCGCGGAAATACCTGGATCGGATAAATGATTTCATTGCGAGGTCGTCAGGTTCGTTCACGGTACTGACCTCAGATTGTTGGAAGAGGTCAAGGTTTACGAGTGCCTGAAAATTCAACCTCGATCGAGCGTCTAGGACACTGGTCGTTTAACGTTTTATGGCTATCATGTATGTGTTTTCGAATAAATGCATTGGAATTTTCGATTGGAATTTTCGAATGTTTCTGTTTTTCAATTATTATTTTATAATGAATGTATTGAAATCGTTCTCGAGAATTTTCAATAAATCGACAGTGAGTAGACAATTAAAATGAAACAATGGTGGTATTGCTTGATTGGAAAAGTTCACTATTTTTTATTAGTCACAACGATATTTAAGATCCATATTTATTATCGTTTCAAATTGTCATATACATGTGATTGTAATTGCGAAATATTTTACAATCGATCCTTAGAAAAGGGTGGTCTCTTGGTTGCTATTGACATGATGCGATGTGATCGTTCTTCATCATCGAATTTCTAATTGCATTACAGTCATACAGGTTGCTTCACAAGAATACCTGAGAATTTTATTTTTTCAATTAAAAAAAATTCTGGATAGATAATTTTTCATTACAAGGATATTATTAGACATTATTAAGTATTAAGTTATTAAATTTTTTAATTTAAATATTTAATGTTTTAAAAGATTGCATTGAAATATTTATGTAAATTGTTTTTTATCTTATTGGGCAATTCACGAAATTATTTTGGAATATTATTTGACATATATATATATATATATATCTATAAAACTTTATTACTATTATTTTTATAACTTTAAATATTTTTCTCATATTTTGTAATATTGGCATATTGGCACAATATTGTTGATTAAAAAAAAAAGTATATTTCATTAATATTTGAAAATTTATTGTTTATTTTTTGATGGTTATCAGATTAAATGTATCGAACATATATTATTTTAACTTAAATTATTGGTATATTTTGATTATATTAATAACTTTGTGTTATGCGTTAAGCGTTCCATCAGAATTATAAAATGATTTCAAATTATTTCTCTTCTTTTGAAATCTTATGTATTCAGTTCTGCAATATTAATTTAAATTTGTTATATTCTTTCTGTACTTGTAAATTATACATTTTTCTTTTATTCTTTTTTTCTATATTGATTTTTAATAATTTTATAGTATATTTCTCATTCCATAAATTTTGATTTTACAGAATAAGGTGTAACAGATGAAAGAAAGAAAAGTTGTGCCACTTACAATTTTATATGAATTCATTGTATTGATTTTGATTACAGTATATCAATTTTATTATATCGTTTTTTTTACATTTAATTATTTAATTATACAAATTATTTTATTTATACGAAATATTTATCTATAAATTTGAAATCTAAGAAAATTAAATTATTGCGAGTAATAAAATAAGAACGTAGAATTACAGAATAATACAAAATTAACCGTAATTTCAGTTATAATTTTTAGTTGGTGTTCCATTCTATTCTATACTTTACAATTGAACAATTTTATAGCATATTTTAATAAGAAAAACTTAGAAAGAGACAATTACGTTTAACGGAAGGGGAATAATATATCGTAATATATTCTCGTGATATATTGAAACATATCTTCGTGAATCGCCCTGTATGCGTATCCGATCCCGCGAGAGCGCCGCGGTACCACGATGCGCCGGCGTCAAAATATTGAGCCGACGGTACCACACGTTAAACCAGCACATAGACAGCTTCAACGCGGCCCTGAAGACATGGGGTAAGTCCTCTCTCTTCATCCTCGTCTTCCGTTTTACTCGTGACTCTTCCCGATCGAGTGTCGATCGCGTGCTCGAGTTAGCTTTGCACAATGATTGTCCCACCCTCGGTATTTTCGTGATTCTTCACTTTCATTCTTCGACTTTTTTCTTAACGTCGAAAGACCATAGCCTGACGTTCGTCGGCCATGTTGCAAAAATATGCAACAATATTATATAAATTTTTGGTATTTTATTACAGGATACTTTACTCGAATATTGCGGTGGAATATTTGGTGGAATGAATATTTGGTATTCTTCTTTAGAAATTAGCTCTGTTAATTTTTTCTCAAAATACAAAAAGCTTAATTATATTTATACTTCTCAACTTTGAGGAAGTAGTAAAAGGAAAAATCTTATTGTTTTGCAGATATAAATCGTTTTATTTTTTTTTTTTTGCTTTCAGTAAAAAAATCGAGAACATAGGCAGAATGACGGCGATGACGCAGGAGGAGATTGTGGCTGGAGCACGGACGGTTGCGCAGGGTCTGGAAGCTCTTAGAGTTGAGCATGGCGGTTTGCTTCAAGGCCTGCAATCGCAAGACGCACCAGCCGCTCGGGACAAGGCTAGTCTGTTATCTAAAATTATCGAGATGATTGACCTGGGCCTAGGCGAAGCGCAGGTGATGCAGGCCTTGGCAAGTCACCTGCAGATGGTAGAGGCGGAAAAGCAGAAACTGAGGACACAGGTGAAGAGGCTGTGCCAGGAGAATGCCTGGCTCAGAGATGAGCTAGCTGGCACTCAACAGAAGTTGCAAGCGAGTGAGCAAGCTGTAAGTACTATCATATCGTTGTTAACACAACTTTAGATGGTACAAAACAAAAATGATTTAAATTGAATTTTCAAGAATTTTTATATGATTATTTTTAATTGCACTTTAGACTTCTACTTTTTAATATAGATTAGTGATATGTTATCTAACTTACAAAACACCTAATATAAATATTATAAAGATTGATGTTTTCTATAAGAGAACTAAACGTCAATTCGCTGAAACAATATTCGGAAAATGTATTTTGAAGTATTTCTTCTCTAATCCATAAAAAAATAAAACAAATGTTATAAATTATTTTTAATCATGTCTCACAGGTTGCTCAATTGGAAGAAGAAAAGAGGCATTTAGATTTTATGGCCAGTATGCGACAGTACGATCCAGACCCATCAACAGAGGATGAAAATGCTAAGGATCGACCAAAGGATGATCCTGTGGTGGATCTTTTTCCTGATGATGATGCAGACGATCGCAATAGCAAATGTACGTGAATTTCCTATTTTTTAAAATTATTTTAATCATAACAAAATTCTTGAATTTATTTATTGAAATTTTTATAAAAATAATTGTTTGCTGAAAAATAATAATATATCAATATTAAGAACAAACGACATTATTTAACAATAAGTAGGAAATTATTAAATCATAATTATTACATAAGAATAATTTTTTATTACATAAGAATAACTGAAATTTTTTATAAATATTATTTTTAAGTGAAATAAATGTAAAAAATTTTTAGAATTTTATAAGTATTATTTATTTTTTTAATTTGGATTTTTATCGTATTCTTTTAGCTATATCTCCGACTCCACCATCACAATTTGCTCAGCAAGTAAATGCTGGTTATGAGATACCGGCACGTTTGCGCACACTGCACAATCTGGTGATTCAGTATGCGAGTCAGGGACGTTATGAAGTGGCAGTTCCTCTGTGCAAACAAGCTTTGGAAGATCTGGAAAAAACTTCCGGTCATGATCATCCCGATGTGGCAACCATGTTGAACATCCTCGCGCTTGTATATCGAGATCAGAACAAATACAAAGAAGCTGCAAATCTTCTAAATGATGCTCTAACGATTCGAGAGAGAACACTGGGTGAAAATCATCCCGCGGTAGCGGCGACGCTGAACAATCTTGCAGTGCTATATGGAAAACGAGGGAAATATAAGGAAGCTGAACCTTTATGTAAAAGAGCATTGGAGATTCGAGAAAAAGTGCTGGGTCGTGATCATCCGGACGTGGCAAAGCAATTGAACAATCTGGCACTGCTGTGCCAGAATCAAGGCAAATATGAAGAAGTTGAGCGCTATTATCAACGAGCACTTGAGATCTATGAGGCCAAACTTGGCCCGGATGATCCAAATGTCGCTAAAACAAAGAACAATCTAGCATCATGTTATTTGAAGCAAGGAAAGTACAAGGATGCCGAAGTGCTGTACAAACAGGTGCTCACCAGAGCGCACGAGAGAGAATTTGGCACTATCGATAGCGACAACAAGCCAATTTGGCAGGTATGATATTGAATCATAACACTATCAAAGTTATAAACAAGAATTTATTTTCCAAAAATCGTTATAGAAAACAGAAGTATAGTAACCATAAATATTTCTAGAATTATATATAAAAAAAGGAAGAGTAGTTTAATGACTTCTAATTTATTTATTGCAACTTTCTTTGGAATAATTCTGTTTAGAATGGTGCTATACTTGCTATAACGGTGCTTGCGATATATGGAGTTTTGTCACTGGCTATTTAGAGATAAATGTAAGCTTTTGGAAGCATTTTATTTATGAGTTATAGCTACGATAATTTTAAACAATTAAATGTCATAATAAGAATATTTTAAAATATTGATAAAATAACTAAATTTATATAGAAAAGTAGACTAGTTAAAAATTAAATTTTTATAAAGAAAATAAAAAGCAGCACAACACAATAGATTTATATTGCCTACTTGTGAAATTTATACAAAACTCTTTTTTTTTTAATGGAAAGTTTGCAATATTTTATATCAGAACATTTTATTGTTGAGAAAATTTAATTTAAATTTAATTATGTTTTTTTAATGAAATTATTGGAAATCTATGTTTAGTTTTTGATCTTATGATTTCTGTTTTAGGTAGCAGAAGAGAGGGAGGAAAATAAACACAGGAACAAGGAGAACACACCATATGGGGAATATGGTGGTTGGCACAAAGCTGCAAAGGTGGATTCTCCTACTGTTACTACTACCTTGAAAAACCTCGGTGCCCTTTATCGAAGACAGGGTAAATACGAAGCTGCGGAAACTCTCGAAGATTGCGCTATGAGATCTCGAAGAGAGGTAGATAACATTTATTGTTAATTTATTGTTTTATTATAAAAGTACACATATCAATGATACACTGCAAATGATACAACTAACAATATCTTTTGCATTTTTCGCACGCAGCACGTGCAACAAGTGAGTAAAACTATTTAGCACAAGTTTGACATTTTGCATGATGAGTGCACATTGCAAAATAACACAAAATTTATCTTTTGTCTATCTTATTTTTTTGTTTGAAATATTTTTTGTTTATTTTATGTTTAATTTAAATTAACATATAGTTAATTATTATGTATAATTATGCATAACGCATTAAGATACATATGATTCTTGACAAAATTTCCAAATTAAATTTCTTTCGTTGAGTTATATGTGTATAAGTTACATACAAAGAATAAATAATTAATAACAATAAAGTAAAAAAGTCTGCGATTAAAAGATTTCTTTGTTATCATTAGTCTCTAAGAATAAATTTATTGTTTGCGGCGCTGACTGTAAAACGCACACAAATTAAATAATTTTATATATTTAAAAAAATTGAAAAATTAAAGTTATGGAATTATATTTTATAAATTAAAATAAAAAAAATGATAAAATGGATATTAAAATTTAATTAAATTAATTACGACGATTATACAATTTAGTAGCTATTTATTTTTATTTTTATTTATAGGCGTTGGAGTTAGTGAACAAAGCGCGAGTGGCACAATTGCTGGGCGACGAAAAGAGCTCTACCAGACGTGGCTCGCGATCCAGTCTGGCCAACAGCGAACACGAGCAAAGTCATGATGAGGTGAGTCTTTTTCTTTCCTTCGTCTGTCATCTCGTTGTATAAATTAGTTATGCACTTCCGCATGCCATGCAGTAGTTGACACAACACTCATAGCCGTCTACTATCCTTTTCTTCTTTCTTTTTGTTCTTTTTTTCGTTTCGTCCCGTCGTCCATCACGTCCGGCACAACCTGATCTGACTGAATTCTGACCGAATCTCATCGGCGACCGCACACGCACGCATACGAACGCAATCGAACGCAGGCGAACAGCTCGCTGCCACTGGTGCAAAGGGCGCTACATGAAGGACAGTCAGCGGCAGGCAGCGGCCAGCACCACGACGCTAGTCCTAACAAACCCGGGTTTAAAAACAAGATCTTCCAAGCTTTTGGCATTCACTCGTCATCCACATAGGCCGGGTGGATCCTATTTTCCGTTTCTCGTTATCTTCTATTCCGCCTTATCATATCATCATATCTGTTCTCTTCAGCTTCGTGTCCTCTATTTTTTCTAACAGTTTTTATTTTCTCTTTCTCTCTTCAATGCTTTCTTATAACATTCTTATCTCACTTTAAATGCAGAATATATAAAATGTACTGCAGCTAAAGAGAACAGATCTATTTTATCGTGGTTTCATTTCGTCATTCGTCGACGATCTTTTTAAGTATGACGTCACTAAATAGATAGATGTGCTTCTATAGTGAATAAGAAAGATAGATTTCCTTGTCAGAATAAGAATTTTAAAATATACTCTTTAATCTCTTTATCTTTCAAATTTAACTTATATGAAAAATTAACATTAATCAGATAATTCCTGGATATTTTTTTATTAAAATAACTATTGAAATATTAATAGTAATCCAATTAATCAAATTTAAAATAAAATATTAAAATTACGAATATTAAAATATTAACAAGATTTATTTTATCTTTTGTAAAGTCACAAATTACACAATTATTTGTAAATAATTTATTCAGTTATGATTACGATATGATTTGTAATGATTTTTTATATGAATCGAGAGAATATACTTAGAAAAGATTGAAATCAGATACAAGAAGTATCAATTCGTGAAGTTCGACAAAAACCTGTGCCATGTGATCCATATATAGGCACAATGCATATATCCCGAATGAACTCCGAATAGAACACATCTAACTATATTATGTGATAAAATGTGACGTCTAGTATAAATGGGTACTTCCAAAAGAATCATCCAATATAATATTATTCTGCGGAGTTCTCCTCACTATAATGATACTTTAACTTAAGAATTTTATTCGTTCAAAATATTTTATGTTAAAAACTATATTCAACGTACATTTTATTGCACAATCCGTAAAGCTACTTGCCGTCGTTTCCAAAGATAGTAAAAAAACTTTAATAATTTTTTTTTAAAGACGACAAGATGGCGGTATTTAATATGGCATTTCTCTTTATACCTTAATAGATACAAATTGAAAACTTTCTCACATGTTTTAGTATCATACTTACTTGCAGGGTGTAATCATCGTTTCAATTGGAACACCTTGGCTAAATTGCATTTATGAGACTAACTTTCCAGATAAATAAAAGTCTGCTTACATACCATAAATGTAAGAAATAATTGAATTTGCTTATATTTATGTCTTATGCAAGATTTATATAATGTATTTCAAAAAAATCTCAGAATTTAAAATTTGGTGGATGTAATTTACTATTTCGAAAATATTTTATTATTATGCAAAAAATATTTTCTGTATATTTTAACACTATATAATTATATATTATTATATGCTTATATAAATTATATATATTATTTATATATACTATTTATATTATTTGTATAATTATAAATTGATATTAGAGTATACAAATACTTTTTGCATAATGATAAAATATTTTAGAAATACTAGATATACTTATATTTAACTTTATAATATTCTGATATTGTTTTGAAATACAACAAACGTTTAATGCCTTTCAATTTTAAAATAATATATTTATATATTGTATTAGATACTTATTTGTTATGATTATTAATTAAATATTAAAAAATTTATTTTTATTGATATTTGATTAATTTAACATTATATAATTTATAATTTTTATATAAAACATGCTGTTTTAACTAATAATATTTTTTTACTTATATTTCTCTTGTGTTTAAGAATTTTATGAATCCAATTATTTTCTTACATTTATGATTTAAATAGATTTCAACATAATTAAAGATTTTTAACGCATTTTTAATTAAAATAGAAAAGCAAATGGAATTAAGAATCAGTAAAAAATACATAAAAGATTTCGATAAATGTTAATACAGAACATATTTTTTGCTTGTCATGTGATAAAGCTTGACCAACAATTTTTTTTATTTTTTTTTTGTTCTAAACTTATATTTGTTTCTTCTTACTACTTTTTTCCGCCAAAATACAATGAAATTACGCACATTTTATCTAAATGTAGTATTATCATGCAAGTAGCAACTTTGCTTAACTATATGATGCAGTATAGATTCGCAAAGACAGCGCGAAAAAAAAAGAAATGAGACATAATAATGATTAAAAGGCCTCGATTAAAATAAGAAAAATAGATTATTTATGTAAAAAAATATTGTTATGAATCTAATAACAATTATGAAAATATTCCGATTTTTATTCAATTTATATTATTACAATTATGTGTATAGTATATGTATCTATTATAATATAAATTGAAATAAAAATCGGAATGATAAAGAAATTTTTTTAAATTATTGGATGATATTTTTAAATAAATAAAATTGGACTACATCATTAAATATTGATGATGTATTTTAATTTTTATTTATAAAAAAATTCTTCAAGTTTGCAATGCAGTGACATCTATATTTCACATATCGATAATACAAAGCATACTTTGTCCTCTCGGATATTTTACATTAGAAAGAAACTTATTTTTAAAATTTCACGTGTGGTTTTTAGCGGTACTTTGATCGCAATTTAAGCGCGGTTCGAAACAAGATTGCAACAATTTCAATTCTTGAACTTACAGTATCTTGAAGATATGAGATAAGATGATTTGAAGATATATTTTATCTATAGCATATATTTATATGATTGTATAAAGAAAAATACATTTCAAATATAATTCCGACACAGATATATATCGAATGTATTTGAAAACTTTAAAGAAAAAATTAAAATTGTAGTTTAAAAAATATATTTGAAATATATTTGAATTATACTTGAAATATATTTAATGGCAGAAAATGACATAGATGATATCTTTCGTAAGATCTCAATGGTGCATGTAAAAAAAAGGAAAAAATTAATGTTTTTCTTGTTAATTTCTGCGTTGCGTGATACTGAAGATATGTGGTTTCAGTCGGAAGAAATATGAGTTTTATATATTCTACGAAACAACACAACACTCTTAATACATACATTCTTTTTTAGATAGGTTAATTTGTTATATTAATTAATGGTAATTTTATTCTCTCTTGATTAAATTAATAGGCCGATTAAAGTAATATTCCTTAATAGAAACTTAAAGTGATGTTAAAAATGATGCAGGTAGTGCCTTGAGACTTTAATAAATGATAAATAAATTATTTTCAAACTGAGAGTTATCTATTTTTTATTTCTATTCTACTATGCGATATTTCGAAGTTATAACTTTTCACTATAATTACTTTAAGGAAATAGTAACAATAGTATAAAGAAAGATAATTATTTTCTTTTATTTTTAATAATGCTTTCAATAACTCAAGTTTAAATTAAGATTTTGTTGAAATTAAATGAAATTAAATTAAATTAATTGTTTCTAACGAATAATATGTATATGTATATATACATATTATTGTGTGATGTATTTGATCCTCTACACTATATATTAATGAATAATATGTGCAATATATATATATATATATATATAAAATTATATTTTTCTTTTAAATAGTAGGTTCTTTTACAACAAGCAATTCTTTTTTATTCAGCTTTTAAAAATATTAAGATAAGATTGAAAGGTGAATGCTTTATTTTTTATCTTTCATATTTTGCATATCAAAACATATCAAAATAAAATATGAAATATTTCGTAAGCCATTTTAAATATTTTTGCATACAGAATGTTGAAAAGAATTATAAGAAAAAATGTATTTAACAAAAAGTAACGATTAGTTTAAAATTTTATAGACGCTTCTATGTGTAGCAGAAAATTGACAAGATATTTTGAAAATAAGAAATTTTTATCTAAATGATCTTTAATACAGCTTATATTTTAAAATTGTTTATAATTCTTGTAATTTCTAATAACTTTTATTTCTAATATTTGGCTCTATTACAAACTTTTTCTTATTTTATGCTATCTTTTTAATATTATTCTTTTTTCTCTATGTATAAAGTGAGAAACTGAATGAAAAAGGCAGAGTGCACATTTTATTTATTTATTAAAGATTTATTTTATAAAAATTAATAACAAGTTTCAAAATAAAGACATGTTCTTCCTGTCACTTCTAGAGAAGAATTCTACAATATATATTGATCTATGATTTAGAATGCCAAAAAAGATATGTAAAAATTGTAATCAGTTGGATGTATAATGTTGGTAATGAATGAAATATTGTGCATTAATTTTCTCTGCACGCAAAACTTGTGCTTAATTATAATGTTCGTTCTTTGGATCAACTTGCGTTGTCGTTTTTGTTTCGCTTTGATTCTTGAGTATATATTGAGCGGAATCCGAGGTACAAGATGAGGATGATGATGATGCAGCAGAAATATATCACTCCTGACGACGAATGGATATAAATGATAAGGTGCGTATTTTTTTCGTAGAAAAATATATTGAGGTTTTTGTTTTTCGATTATTAGTGCACAGAATATTACAAGTAGCAATTACCCTCGATTGTTTCCGCCACTTTATTTCCTTTTAGATAATTATCAATCTATTTCTTTTGTATGAACAAAAATGTTGTTTGATAATGAAGAAGCAAGTCGATGATATTGAAATATTTATAATATATTTTGAAATTATATAACATCAATCTATTTTTCTAAATAATTATTTTTAAACTTAAATTTGTTATTAGGACAATATATTTATTTAATTTTTATCATATCACTTTTATATTACTTGCTTCTTCAGTTCCCATTTTTCAATACTTATTGTAAAATTTATAAATAATAGTGATAATAATGATATAATGTAGCATTTATTCCATCAAATATAATAAATATGTTCTACAAAGGATATTAATATCAATATTTATATTGTTAAGAAAATTGTAGAAAAAATAAACTGTAAATTGTTAGTGTGTGAAATTGCATGCCGAAGCAATAATTGTATATTATAATTATTTTTCTAATTTTATGTGTGCTTGTTATTGTATGATGATAAAATATAAATACTCGTTAACTAATTTAATATCGTGCGTTTCTTTCAGCAATATTATTAACATTTTATAAAACGTTTTATAAAACAGATTATAAATATCTTGTGTCTTCAATCAAAATAGAAACTTGTAAAATTAATTTTAATCTACAAATTAATACTATTATTAGAAACTTACTATTAGTAAAAAAGTAGGATAAATGCAAAATATTTCTGAAGCGGTATTTTTCATTAATTAACTTTTTTTAATGCAAAGATCTATTTATAAAATATTTTTTTATATATTGATACAATTAAATATTATGACATATCATTAATTTAAAATTAAAAAAACATTAATATTTTCAAGTGTAACATGATTTATCATCTATAACATGGTTTATATATTTATTAGAGGAGACATTCAATACTTTCTTAAATTATTATATTTCTAGATTACTTAATTTTTTTAAACTAAACATCCATACAAGTAATTGAAGATATGAGATATATCTATTTTTGAGATCAATTAAACTGAAGACTTGTTTCTGTTTTGTTACAGGATTGGAAGTACGCCTTTCGCGCGAAATAAAGAGAACGTTCATTGACGAGAACTCACTTAACTATAATCTCAATGTGCGAATGATAAGACGAAAGAAGACTCTGCAATGACCGATGATGATGTTTATTATATATCCAGATCGTCGCATACACAGCACACATTCCAGCTGTTTCTCTGTAACGAAAAACGCACTGTATGCGAATTAGCTCAACGTTGCTGCTAGTTTCTCACTTATAGCTTTATACGAATTGCTCTTTATTATATTCGGAACATTTATTTGGATGAATTTGAAAGATATCGAATAATTGAAAATTGAATTGATAATTGAATCAAAATTTAGAAGGATCATATCTATTTATCTTGCATATATCAATACAGCTACACATACATATTTTGGTACTTTCTTTATGATAATGCGTTATCTTTCCAGCTGGAGATAGATTTGATCAAAATCAAGTCATACATTTACATGTACTTGGTATAAACATACGTTTTCTACATTGACTATTTAATTTATGTTATCTATATTCACTTTAGATTTAAATAGATTATATTATTTATATTTAATGATAATTACTATAAGTTTCTTTAGTAAAACATTTCTTTTTGCTTGATAATCGAGAAAAGAATTTTTTAATATTGTTTTAAGAATTTTTAAAATTTGTTTTTTAAAGTAAAGTTCTTTTTAAAAGGAATTT